CTCCAACCACATTAAGAAACCTTTGAATACATTCAGTCGTGGCTGTCCTAACTAACTTCTCTGTATCAGTGGGAAGTACAGGACTTCTAACAGTGCGCCTGCACACCTATAAGCATAACATGCAGTCTGCAGCTAGTCAACTCCAGAAGACAAAGCTTTTATAGATTCCCCACACATTTTCCTTCGCGCTCAAACTGGCATCTTACTATAAAGCAAAATGCTGTCTGGAGGCATGCGCCTGAGGATATTCCACTAGTAGACCCCGTGACCATAACCTGTTCCGGAGATATCACGAAACATTTATTTCTCAATCTTCCCAAAGTTCTCTCTGCTCTCGTTCCTAATACTTCAGGAGAATTTTGACTGCCTCGAGCTTCGGCATAAACTTAACCTAGTCGTCCCACGAAAGCAATGTGTGATTCACAAAGGTTCTGTAGAAAATGCTTGGCAGGAAGGTATGTTTGAACAGTTACGTCTAGTGGATCGAACAGAGACGAAACGTGGGTGATATTCTTCTTCTTGTCAAAGGTTACTCCTATGGGTTAAATCAAAGTTCGAAAACGTCGTATATGGTGTCCTACTCTATTCGAAGTGCTGAATGATAAGACTCTTGATTTAAAGGATTATTCACACTATCAGACTGCAGAAAACCTTCCCTTACCAGTTCCGAATCTGTTACCTATTTTGTCAATTTAAAACATTCTCTATTCATTGATTTATTCAATTTTATCACACATTTTTTCCATCAACATTGAGGAAGGGTACTAGACAATCGTCCACATAGAAATTTATGCAGTACCGATTCCACTGCGTTGGGATTACAGTCAATAAATAATACTGAGCCATCTTTACCAATACAAAATTTGTACAGAAGGGCGAGGATATTACTTATAAGAGGTGTGATGTCGTCTGATATTCCACAAGTTTATTCCGGAGATCACCATCTGGCTACAAGAGGTAGCGTAGTGTGCCACAATTAAGCCTTGAGATATTTACGTACACTAATATTTCCTTTACATTTGAAGAAAATATAATCAGTTTCCTGTAGAGACGTAATACGATGTCGACCACATCTGACATTGGTAGTAAAAGCCGTTCAAAGATTTACCAACCACCTTAGCAGCACAAACTAGTACCACTCACTTTCCTTGGTCTTATGTGGTTATTAACGGCATGATTTGGCGAATACCATCATCAATGATAACTCGAACTGAGTTGCATACCTGGAACTGGAATCTCATACTCATTTTCAAATATTTGCATCAAGGCATGGGTATAACTTGCCTGTGGGTCTTTATTACATATATTTCGACGTCTGAAGACTTTCTATATTTGTTCGAGAAACGCGTGACTCCCAGAAACGCAATGTTATGCACGTTCTTTAACTGCTCCACAGGGTCGCCAGTTTGAAAAATATAACTTACAATTCTTTTCTCATGTTTGTTATAGCCTGCTGGTCCCAAAAGACCCATAGTAGCAATGCCCTGGTAGCATAAGGACTCTTCCTTCCATCTAAATTTTAGTCCCGGATTCAATACACTTCAGGCACGTCACAACCAATCAGTACAACAACTTCGCAACCTACTGGTTCTGGTCAGAGTAAATTCATAAGATTGGACTATTTCTTAGCACTATCACTCACAGATCTTCTTGGTCTTTATATTAGTAAGTCATCTACCATAACAGCCTATATGACAAATATACATTCGCCTCCATCCAGTGAGCAGGCTTCAAAGGTTTTGGTTGTCGATTTGACCAAGTCATTTCCGCTTAACGGTTTGATAGTAACCGACTTAATATCTGACAATAATCCTAAAAGTTATGCTGAACTTGGATTGATCAAGATAGACTGGGCCAGCGTCTAGAACGACATGTCTACAGACTTCCTTGTCTCCAGCTCAAAGGTGTACAGGGACCAGACCAAGAAACACATTTTTATTGGTGTCTCTGTATAACCACAATGGGCATCTTTTAATCACTCACTCGAAGTGCCTCGAACTCTAATGGGCTTATGCGACATTTTGTGACACCTATCTCGGGAATCTTCAATAGTATACACAAACGATCTTCACAATCTACTGATCTGTGGCCCATTTCGAAACAACAAAAACACTGGCCAAAAGCTAAATTCCAAATCACATATCGCGATTAGCACCCAAAATATTTCACCTCTTTGACGTTTCAAGGTACTGTGGCTGCTTTAAGGGCTGCATAGCAAAAAAGACGTTGTCACGGAAACAAATCATCAAGAATGGATAGAGAGAAGATAGTGCGACCATTCCCTCGTAGACCAGTCCATGTCGTACAAGTAACTGATGCGCTTTCGTTTTCCTTGACCTTGATGAGGATCGATGGACATTTTGACATTCAGAGAACAACTGCCGGATGATTTGGACAAGACCCAATCAAATTTCACTGAACCTACGTGTTTATCATTTTGTAATGTCCGATAAACTAGGTGTGGGGGAGATACAACAATGTTTCCCCTTTAAAATGTATTGAATGATCTAGGGATAAAATATGTAATAATTTGTGGCAGTCTAGGAGTCGAAGTTCTTTTAAAACAAATTGAAGATGAATGTGCTTCCTTCCGTATTCTGGTTCACACTTGAATCATTATAGGTCGCTAGGTCAACACACCCATTTGCATTTGTTTTTCGTGAAAACCCAAACTGTAGGTTCTAACACTAACTCCTTACTTTCCGTCCCATCTCGGATTCCTTACATTAATCCATAATCCTCTTTTTAACCCTAGTAAGTAGGTGAGTTTCTGAAGGTCGATTCAGCTTCGCTCAGAGATTGAACATCAAAATACTTTCCAGCATCCTTCCAAAGCAATCAATAGAGGGGATAAATAGGAACAAGGATTTAGAAGGGGAGGTGCGCCAGAGATCCTCTTTCTCGTCTGCCATGGAGAAATGTTGCGAAACTTCCCTTTTTGTTGCTGCATGTTTGAAATGTGGCGAAATTGTCTACGTTTTTCCAAAATACACGCCAAATTATCTACTTTTTGCTCAACACCAAGTAGTCAACCTCAAAAGTCGTCATTTTACCATTGTTTCCTCCAAGTTCGCCTTCATTGGTTGCTTAGGTCACATTCCGTGTTCTTCATGTGCACATTGTAGTTAAGCTACCTCTGGCCTAGACAGCGAATCAGCATGCCACATATTTACAGATGGATTCATGAAGTTAACTAGTGTGAAACCTGGACAACCTACGTTTCAGGAGCCCAATGCTTCCCGTACTGTTACTTTGAGACGCCTTAATAGGTCTGGTACAACAAAGTACCAGTATGCGAAGTGCCAATTCAATTTCGGGATCTTGCATCCTACCCAGGGTCCCGGAATGAGTAAGAAGGGACAATTCTCTGTCTTCTCTAGCACTTGACGTCATTCTGGGTGTTAATATTTGGGTAGTAAGTTTAAAATAAGAGTAGTGTATATCACTGGATAATATGGAATGGCACCTTCTAATGCCTCACATTACCACCCATGAACTGACATCTTCGTGACCACAGATAGCTCGAGAAGAAGGCTATTGAGTGCTGAGAGAGACGCATTTCGACTTTTTGTTCAGGGAAATATCGATGTTTTGAGTCATGGATTTAGCGTAGGAAGAACTTAAGAAAGTTATGATATACAATGACACTAGAAATATAAGGACAAGGCTACCAACATAAGTGTTGTGTATAAATAACTATAAAAAAACAGGAATTGAGATTTTAAATGATCTTATACCTCGTGTAAGAGATATTGGGAAGGCGGAAGTGCTTCAGAGCAATCTTAGCAATATATCGGAGATTGTTTATGCACGTAGCGATATGATCGATATTCATTAGAAAATTCCGGAGGTCGTTGATATCGATTCGGCGTACAAGACAAACAAAATGGGGTATGTCAGATTCAAAATATTTGAAGGAAATTGGTAGGTGGCATCCATAGCAGTTTGTTGTGAATGGTGGATATAAAAGAGGGTGCAGTGATGTTTGCATTGACGCAAACTAAGCGACCAAACAATGTAAAACAAGTTCTACTAACTTAAGGTAGAGTCAAGTCTTAAAGAAAACAGAAACTTGCCCCTTGTTTAACTTGATTCCTAGCTTCATTAGTCGGGAAATATTTAAAAGCCAAGATTGTTGTAGAGACGAATGTGAATTAATGGACAATCTTTTGAAGGACAACACAAGTCACAGAAATACACATTGCTTATGAAGTAAACTGGAGATATAGAGACTCTAATATCAAGTCTCGGTTGACGCAATTTTACTCAGCAGCATCATCGTATTCATGAATCCATAGAGCATAGTAAATATGATAACCCTGATTGGTGATATTAACTGTCTTCATTCACTAGCCCCCAAATGCCCTGGTGCGACCAAGGGTGGGGAGAGTCCGCTCTCTCAAAAATGCTCTTACGTTGCTACGGGTATACAACCACTGTCAGGGAGGTCCGACTCACTGCCATCTCGCGCCAGGGGTATTTTACGCAGTTGGAAGGATGAAGAGCGAATGTCCGGCGCTTTAACCGAGTTGGCGTACACGAAGGTTGCACCTTAGAGAAGTAGGAAAGGCCTGATCCCAAACCAAGTGCTCATGAGCTCCAGGATCCTGAAGGAACACATGGTGTATGAACCAATTGTTGGTGACTAGCTACCATGGGACTGCATGTAAAAACTTGCCCCGCTGCCTTGTGGGTTAGACCTCTAGGTCAAAGGCTCGGGAAGTGACTCCCTAAGGAAACCACTTGGTCCGGTTTGGGCGCCCGAGTAATATCCCAGCCCTCACACAAATTGGATGATGAAGCGTGGCATATATATATATATATATATATATATATATATATATATATATATATATATATATATATATATATATATATATATATATATATATATATTTAGCGCCTCCTTGTACCAATACTTAGGTATTTAAATAAAGTAAAAGTAAATTTAGTCACTGGATTCGTACGCCAACACTTTACACAATGAGAACAAGGATTACTTGCTTTCTGTATACCACGGAACGGTAAAATTTCTCCTTGTTACTAGTTGTTTTACTTAACTAGGTCTTGGTTGAATTAAAAACGGTCACTCATTTAGCTTTGTCGGTATTACTAATGATGGGGACTCCCTTTGTTGTGCAGTCATTTTTTATCGTATGAAGATAAGTCATTGAGGAAATTTTCGAATATTGATAGTCGATTTTATGCAAAACTACTATTGTTAACTTTTGTTTCTTTTAACAGGACTATATACATGTAATACTTCACAGATGTGTGCTCTATGTTACCTCACGAGAGTAGAATCGTTCTCAGCCTGTCATCGTCTTCATTCACAACATCTTAGTAATGAAGAAAATGTTGAACTGTTTCAAAAATGTAATAATCCTATGGGACATGGTCATAATTACAAATTAGAAGTCACAGTTTCAGGACCTATCGACCAAAGAACCGGTATGATTATGAACATAAGTGACTTGAAATCAGTTGTTCAAAAAAATGTTCTCGACCTATTAGACCATAAAAATATAGATGAAGATGTTGAATATTTTAAAAACAATAGTATTGTATCAACTACGGAAAACCTAGCAGTTTTCATATGGTCACAATTAGTCAATGCTATCCCTAATAATTTACTTTACGAAGTCAAAATATGGGAAACTGAAAAGAATATCGTAACTTATAGAGGTGAAAAAATAAATCACAAGTAAACTACACCTCTAAAAAATTATTATATTACTAAATTATTTATGCCTAACTAAAAACATTGAGTTTAATTTGCTAATATATTTTGCTTAGCTGTACTCGTTTGTTGGTATATATATTGGGGTTTGCATGTTAGATCCGAACTATGGTTTTCACTGAAGAAGAGCTGTCTATTTGTGTTGGGTATGCTCCATGGCTTGGATGAAGCCTAAACAAAGTGATTGGGTAAAATGACGGTTCTAAACAAATATAATCATCCAGTTATTCAGCAAATATTTCTTTAATTATTCGAATCATTCAGAACAAATAAATATTATTCTATCCTGCCTGTATAGATCACGCACGGATTCGTGCGAAAAATTATATTTGGTTGTTTTTTAACGCAGAGTTTTCCCAATTCTGGAAGAGTGCTTCAATTCACAATCAATTCACAATTCAATATCCTTTCAGTTTCGGCCAAATATGTACATGAGTTCTCATCAATCAAAGTCTGTTCTCTGGTAATTATTAATAACAGCCAGCTTTTCCAAACTCCACTCCTGTGGCCAGATGAGGGCTAATCAATATGCCATTGAATCTGCCTAGCTGACAATTCACTATTCATCCTCTGCTGACTCAACTGTTGCACAAATCTTTCTAGTTCAGAGAATGCACCCACGAAGTTCGAACATTGTCACTGCGATTTTCTGTGGGCTTTCCTCTTCTTCCAATAAAACGTAATAAGGCCATTAAAATGAATAAGTGTTCAAACTATACGTCATTTTGATATGTACTGCTCGCGTTTTCAAACAAGTAAATACACATCCATATCTTTCTCAAATGACGTTCCTCTTTGACTAAAATAGGTCTAAAATAGTCTATTCCTAACACTAAGAAGCTATACGAGTCTCCGTGCACTGTGCAACATGGGAGTGGCTCAGTCGGCTGTTGTCCTAAATTCATCGCTGACCGCCGGCAAGTCACAAACTTTCCTATCACTCTCCTAACCGTGCTGGTTCCTTTTACTATCCAATAGCTTTTGCGAATTGTGGTCAGTACTTGAGAAGTTCCTGTGTGCTCTTTCGTGCCTATAGGTAACCCTCGTGTTATTGATAGAAGAAGCCAGACAAAAATTGAATTAGTCTTTATTTCGATCTTAGCGCAGTCACAGTGGAGCGTGGGATTATCTGTTCAGACAAACAAAAGCTTTCAACATTCAATATAAGATAATAAGGAATATAACGCTTATACAAAATAAGGAAGTGAATGAATACTTGAACAATACTGTTTTGACATATGCTTGGTTGTTTGGGGTCAACTCTTAACCAACCAACCTATGCTGTTACATTAGCTTCCCCCTAGAATCGACTTCCGTAGGAACATCGGTTCGATTAACCTATCTTTCAAAAACACCTTAGTTCTATTTCTCATCTCAAGGGAAAATTATCAACTCGCTCAATGTTTGACTTACATTCAGTGGCAACTAACGCTGTCAACGGTAGTCCATGGATGTCTCTTCATTTACTAGCTTGTCATCTTATTTTGTAGCATGTGATTTCTTCTACAACTATCGCTGACGGTTTGCTGCGTGCTTTCATGAGAAAGAGTGTGAGACTGTGGAATAAGAATATCTGAGGAAGTGCCGCGAGCGGGCTACCAAACACCATGTTGGTGAGGTATGATTTTTCCATGCTCAGACCGGCTATCAGGTGTTTACTCACCTGCCTCTTGAGTCGCCCTCAAGTAAAAAGTAAAGAAGAATCTACTTCAAAGGTAATGGTGAAAACCAATCAAACCTAAAGAACTGCTTCACTGCCTGCATCAAAATAATAAGATACAAAAGGGAAATGCATAAATATAATTGATAATTGTTCGGTTCCACGTAAGTGATTGGCCTCCAGAACGGATTGGTATTCTGGAAGAAAATAGACATATTGTAGCCATCTTGTGTACGAAAAGGTATGAAAACAAATAAAATCCTTTTTTATAATGTATATATGTAAAAGTGTAAACTTGCTAGAAGTTGGACTCATTGTCAAACCCGTTCAAATGCGTGACCTTGAGACTGTGACAACCGCCTTTTGTGTAAAACGAAGTTTCTTTTAGTGTTAATCGCCGTTTCTTGGTGTCAACAAGAAATTCGTATCTCTCTAGAAAGTCCATCCCCAGTATTGCCAGATCTAAGTCGGCTACCGTGAAAACCCAAGGGAATTGCCTTCTGAACCCCAAATCTAGGGTTAACGTTTTCTGCCCAAATGTCGCGATTGTAGTTTTATTTGCAGCTTGAAGTGAAATCGAGGATGTTTCTCGACTAATCTCAGTTTTATTTCGAAGGATGATGCTAAGAGCAGCGCCAGTATCCACCAAGAAATTCAAGCCCGAGTTTCTGTCTCTGACATAAAACAAGCGACTGTTTAGGCGCCCCTCCTCAGTTGTCGCGACCTGGGGAGGGGTTACTCGTTTCCCGCTGTCTTGGAATTATGCTTAGGCCAGGCGCATGGTTGCCTGCACTTGGTTGAGCTGACACCAAACTTCCAGTGGTACCAACAAAACTGCCCAGATTGTCTGGACATTTGTGACCTATTTTGTGACTTGGATCGTGATCGTTGTGGTGACCTGCTCCTGTTTGTATGACCCATTTGCATTCTGGTGACAGCCTCAGTGAGTCTCTTAACACTCGCAATGAGTCCTTCTATGACGGGGTATTTTGCTGATTCTACTTTCTGTGTGTGATTTATTGTGCCTGATCCAGTTGGAGGACCTCTTTCCATTATTCTATCAGCTATACGCGCTAAATGAGATAATGAGGTTTTAGGATCTTGTGCATCCAAACAGTGTTGGACGTAGCATGGGAGAGCTTGTATCCATCCTTGTTTTAGGACTGCTTCACCCACTGTGTTATCACCCACTAAGACTTGGAGGTGACGTAGAAACTGTGACGGCGACCGATCACCTAGTGTTTCACCTTGAAAAAGTCTTTGGATTCTTTGACTATCTGATAATGATAAACGGTTCATTATCTCTCGTCTTAAGACGGTGTACGGTTGTGGTGATGGTGGATCTAAAATCAAGTCACGGACTTCTTTGGCGACTGAAGGAGGAAGGATAGAACACAAATCTCTATAGCGAATCCCTTCAGATTTGATATTGTGTCTCGTGAAATAATGCTCGAGTTGAGCAAACCACAACTCAGGATCACTACGATCAAATTCTGGAAGTCGAGATTTCGTAGTCATAACAGTGTCTATCTCCACTGGTGACAAATCCTCCAGATTATGGGTTTCTTTTAAGTCTGACATGAGGTATGTGACAAATATAGCAACAAAATTAGCACGAAAAAAATGGTTTCTATGACACGAATAACTTAAGATAATAAAAAGAATAAACTATTTATATACCCAACTTAGTTTACAGATAATCAGGTCTACTTTTACGATTGAGTAAAAAAAATAATATTAATAACAAAAATGAGGTTAATTTGTGTTCAAAAAGGGCTCACCAATTTCGTGCCTATAGGTAACCCTCGTGTTATTGATAGAAGAAGCCAGACAAAAATTGAATTAGTCTTTATTTCGATCTTAGCGCAGTCACAGTGGAGCGTGGGATTATCTGTTCAGACAAACAAAAGCTTTCAACATTCAATATAAGATAATAAGGAATATAACGCTTATACAAAATAAGGAAGTGAATGAATACTTGAACAATACTGTTTTGACATATGCTTGGTTGTTTGGGGTCAACTCTTAACCAACCAACCTATGCTGTTACAGCTCTTCTCTTTTATGATAATGTCTAATTAGTATTTCTATCACTGTGTTGACCGGGCGAAATTATTGGATGTTTGAGAGTATTTGGGAAATCTGAGTAGCTTAGACGACCTACAACAAAGAGTAACCCATCAAGCATTATTTGCGATAAGCATTTCAGATCATTATGACAAGTAGCTTTACCGTTGTTCTTAAATTCACTTAGTAATTTTCCATACACCTTTTTCTGAACCATCATTAAAGCCTTAAGCTTGGCATTTTCAAGCTCCTCGACCTTCTAGCATCCTAGATTAACGGATCCTTTGCGGCTTGACGGACGAAGTACCAACAGGAATTTTATGAACCTTCTAAACCAGGATACAGCTCTGACTGATTTCAACCACTCAGAGTAATAAGAAAGAATAGGGGACTTGTTATATTTTATACCACTCAAGTTAACCACAGCAGTTTTTCTAAACTCACTGTTGTCAGGAGTATGTTCCGGACAATCAGTCATAGTTATGCGAAAATTTCCATGCAGTGAAGTAGGACATTTAAACCAAGATTCACGATCGGTTACGTTTGGCTTACCTCTCGGGGTTCAATCAGCTGGATTCTGTGACGGCTTTACATAACTCCATTGTTCAACTTTCGTGTACTGGTGCACAACTGCGAGGCGGCCGGCTATATAGGTATTTTACTGGTTCTCAGTATTCCCAATGTAGTACAACAAACTTATTTGCCTGATTCGATGCTTACCATGAGAAACTTATTTTACCATAAATAATATTGACATTGCGCTTTCCGATTTATACCACAACCTGATACATTATCTTGACTGAACTGTTCCATTTATTGGTCACGTGGCTTATAACGTCAATAGAGTCCAGAATACCTATAAAACTTTCAAAAGACAGCTGTGAAAATTGAAACACCGCTACCACGAGATCATGACGTGCATGCATTTCAGAGTATATCTAACTTAATCAACAGTAATGCTTAATCTAAATGCAAGTATTTTATGAATATAGGAAACAAAACTCAAGGCAGTAAAAGACGGGAGTTATCAATACTTCAGCCTATTAAATCCCGGGTGAAGTTGAATTCTTTTGGTACGACTAAATTTTTTATAGTTAACGCAAGTATTGTTGATGACTCTGATACTATTTGCGAACAATTCGGCCAGCATTTCTCGCAATGCTACAACACTGGAACCGGAACCCCTATCAGTACATTCCCAGCGTTGACAAACAAACACCTACCCAAAATCGACTTCATACCCTCCAACATCAAGCAGGCCATAGCTGCCCTGAGAAAGTCTT